GGATGTGGCCTCGGGTCAGGCCTCTGTGGCCCTTCCGGGAGCGCCGACACCTCTTGGGGGCCGCAAGACTGCCCCCCGCACTGCCGCCTTCCTTCCGGGGCAGGGTGGGCACACACATCCGCCTCCAGCGATGCCGGGCTGCGGTGGGCTCTGCGCCCACGCTCAGGCCCGGGGCTGCTCCACCGGGTGTGGGTGGCACGGCCACAGGTGCAGCTGGCTAGCAGGGTCAAGCAGGCGTGGGGATGGCCGGCGGAGGCCGAGGCAGAGGTGGGGCTTCCAGGTGGATGTGAGGCTTTAGGTCTTGTCTGCTCCTGCCAGGAGGCTGTGGACATGGCTCCAGGGGTTTAGCCCTTGTGGCTGTGTGTCCTTGAGAGGCCACCCGCTCCAGGCAGGAGCTGACGTCCAGGCGTGCGGACAAGGGGTGTCCCTGCCCCGCCCAGCCTCCCCTTGGGCGTCCCCTAGGCTGAGGGCCTTCCTGGGGGCCCACCAGGGGAGGCGTGGAGGACGGGCGTGGGAGCAAGTGTTGGCCACGGTGGGCCAGCCTGACCCCGCCAGCACCTGCGGCAAGGCATGCAGCCCGGTTCCCCAGGGGCTGAGGCCTGAAACTCGGAAGGCCGCAGCCGGGCTCCACCTCCATCCCAGACGAGGAGGTGCCGTGTGGCCAAGCATATGCCTCCTCCGGGGGCTGCTGGGGAAGGCGGAGACCAGCCGCCATGCGCAGGCGTCGTGTCCCAGGGGCTTCCCGCCCTGGTCCGAGGGCAGCCGTGCCATGCCTGTCTCAGCCAGTTCCTCAGGACAGCCCTGGGTAGTGTGGCATGTGTCCCTGGGAGGCCTCGGTCCTCAGGCCCACGTGCGACATGTCCCTGGAGCCTCGGCCCCTCCCCAGTGTGGCAAGTGTCCCGGGAGGCCTGGGTGCAGCCTGGGTGTGTGGGCTCTCTGGTGAGATGCCAACGGCTGCTCTCCTGCGTGCTGTGTCCTCTGCAGGTAACTAGGACTTCTACCTCATCCGCGCGACTATGCAAGGACGGTGTGGACCAACTCGCCGCTGCTCGGTGCTGCGGCCTCCGGGCTCCCCACGCACGCGGGACGAGGCGGAGCCCACTGTGAATCGGCCGCCGCAGGAGGCTGGGACTGGTCCAGTTTGTACTGTCGATAGTTCTAGATAAAGTATTTATCGTTTTCTAAAGAGTGTAAACAATTCTGACTTATTTTATTCCAACGAAGCCGTGAAAGGCAACCTATTGAGAGAGAAGTTTCTATATGTGAGAGGATCTATATAGACACGCGTCGGAAGGGCTGGCCCGCCCGCGGAGACGCCGACCGCCTGTCCGGTGCTATCGTCCCAGGCCTGCGCCGCCACCTCGCTCGGTGCTGACTGCAGCTGCCGCCGCTGTCCCTGCTCCTGTACCAAAGGCAGGCCCGCAGGGCGAGCCCGCCACCAGCCCTTCCCTCCCACTGTGAACGCCCCCGACCGCTTCCTCTGGGCGTAGCCCGGTGCCTTCGGCATGAGGGTGGGCAGGAGCACCTCCCGTGTGGTGTGTCGCAGCCGGCTGGCGCTGGGTGGGGTCAGGAGGGCCACGTCCTCCTGGCCTGCAGCGTGGCCGCCTGTACCAAGTGCATTACTTTTGTATTTCTGTGCTTTCTCGGCAGGCAGTGCCCTGGAACGGGACAGGCCCGCTGCGGGTCCCTTGGTGTTTCTGTATAGGAGAGAGTCACACGTTGGTGACAGTATTTTATAGAGATGTGATGAAAATTTATAAATTTCATAGGCTTGACTGCATTTATTTTTAGATGGTATGATGCACAGTGAACTTGAGGGAAAAGCAAGGGGAAGGAAACCTTATTTATTGACATGCACAAGACGGCGCCGGCCCGGGCCGGGCCCCCCATCCCCCGCACAGTCTGTTTTGCTGCCAGGTGCCCACCCCTGCTTCGTGCCCATCACCGGTCACTTGGGGTCTGTGGGTTCTTGAGGCCACCGTGGGTGCGCTGGGGCAGAGACGTGCTCGCTCAGCCTGGCGTCTTTGACCCTAGGCCTGAGGTGACGCCCGCCCTAGCTCTGGCGGCCTTGGTGGTGCCTGTGGCTGGGCGTGCTGGGCTTGGCCAAAGGCGGGCTCTTGGGGCGCCTCAGGGCTTGGGACCTGCCAGGCCCTCCCGTGGTGAGGAGCGGCCACCAGGTGAGCCTGGCTGGTCTTGGCAGGGTGGCATTTGGGAGCCCATGCTTCCCAGGTGGTCACGGGTCATCCCTGCACCCGTGGACTGGCCGCCTGACCCTCAGGGAGTCCCTGGCCAACAGCTGGGGAAGGCTCCAAAGAGCTTTGGTGGCCAGCCCTGCTGTCCCGATGCCCAGCGACAGGTGGAGACGCCCCGTCCCTGCTAGGCCCGGAGGGGCATTTCTGGTTCTGCCGTTGCTGGGGTCCTGGGCACCCCGTCCCGCCCCAGCCTGCATCCTGGTCCCATGCCCGCTGTTCTCAAGATGGTGCTCGTGACCCCGTTTGAAAGCTGCCCCATCCTCCCTCGGGGCCCCCATGCTGGTGCTCTTGGTCTCAGGTGCTGTGTCTTGTGGCCTTCAGACGAGGCCACTTGCTCACTAGGGTGAGGGCCGGGCCGCAGGGCTCCCCCATGCAGAGGCCCCAGTCTAGAGCCAGGTGTGTTCTTCAGTCAACACTGCGTCCCTCTGCCGGCCTGGGCCCCAGACAGGCGCCAGGCTAGTCCTGTCCTGCCCCAGCCGGCATCGAACACTGCGCGTGCAGTGCTGGGTTTCAGGTGCCAGTAGCATGGGCGAAGTCTTGAGTCCATGGGGACACGTGTGTCCGCATGGGTGCACTGTGGTGCCGACTGTGGCCCTCCCGGCTCCGAGCCTCAGGGCCACGCTCCGCCCAGAGTGCTGGACCGCGGCGAGTCTGGCGTGGGCACCTGGCCTGCTTTCATGGGCCCAGGCACCCCGGGAGGCAGGGAGGCTGCTGGGACCCCGACTGGGAAGTGAGTGGCCAGGGCGGCCGGGCCCGCGGGTGGCAGCTGGCCAGCAGAAACTCCCACTGTGACCTGTTTAAGACTCACCCTGTTATTTATGCGCCCGCAGGAGGCGTCGTGCTGTTCCGTGGTCAGCAGGGGACTCTTCCCTCACCCGTCCCATCCTCCTGTCCAACGGTCCATCCACTCGCAGCTCTGCTTCTCGGGCCCCACCCTCTATCTGTAACCACCACGGCTTTGCTTTGTCCTTGTGTAACTGTGTCCACCGAGTGCACTGTCACGGCCCAGGGCCGCTGCTGCCCACCCCTCTGTGGGGCCCCCACTGCATTGCGTTTCTGCCCCAGATGCTGTAATAAAGAGATTGTTACCATTCAGACTTGGTCTCCACGGCAGCCTTCTTCCTGGGGATATGAGGTGATGGCCCTGCCGGCGTGCTGTCCCTGAAGTTGGGGACCATGCCACCAAACGGTTGTGGGCTTGGGGCACTCCTGGGGGCTGCGGGCACTGATGCTGGCACCCACCTGTCGGAGGGAGGCCCACCGGGGCCTCTCCTTGACTCACTGGAAACCAGCAGACTCGGGCCCCAGAAGCGAAAATGTCCCAGCCAGACCAAGAGGGGCCCCAGGCGCCCTTAGATTCCTGTGATCACGCCGCCTGTTCTCCCTGGGCCTGGGAGCCTCGCAGGCACTGAAAAGGACCCCGTCCCCCCCTTAGCTGCCGTCACCACCATCCAGCGTGAAGAGGTACCTTTATTGAAACAGAACAAGCAGGCCGAGCTGGACCACTGGGCCCCAGGCGCCCGCCGGGCCTGCTGGTCAGCAGAATTCACACCCGCCATTCACAGCATCAGCTGCTCTGTACGTTCATTCCGCACAGGGCAGGGTGGGCCCAAGGGTGGGTCAGCAGCACGTGGCACGGGGCGCCAGACCAGTCTGGTGGGGCCCGAGGCTGGGAGGCTTGCAGGCTGATGTCCACAAAACGCAGCCTCTGCCAGGGCCCCCCCCAGGCTCTGGAAGTTTTCCGACTCCAAGCCCCTCCCACAGAAAGCCAGGCTGGGCCGGACGCCAGGGCCGGCAGAACCCAGGTCCATCCAGCAGCTCGCTGAGCCACGCCCGCCCGCCGTCACGCCTTCAGGCC